GCAATTGATCATTTTACACTACCAGAGGATGATGTGCTTGTCTTTGGTGAAGAAAAAAAGATTAGTGGTGGAAGTGTTTTTTTTTGTGACAAAAGTATATCTGCTGCTGGAGATGCTTTCCTTCCTGATGTTATCTTGTTGCACACTGTCCTTTTATTGGTGCAGGCTCAATACCAAACGCATGTTGCTGAAATGGAGGCACTTAGGGCTGGAATGCCTCCAGTATTTGTAAATCACAATAACTCTGGTGGGCCAGCTGTTAGGGATATCCATATGGAGAACTTCAGTGTTACTGTTGGTGGTCGTGATCTCATTCAAGATTGCACTGTAACACTTGCTTTTGGGAGGCACTATGGTGAGTTACAGCATAGGTTTCTTCTTGAGCTGTTGTTCACTTCGTAGCTGGCATGAATAACTTAGGAATGAAGAATGAAACATTTGTAATCGTATATGTCAAGTCACACATATCTCTGCAACACTTTTCCTTAATAGCGTGCCTAACTGTCTATGCTTTACCAAAAGCCAAAACTAAATTGCACAAATGCCAAACTTGTTAATTCTGTCTGTACTAGTCAGTGGTTCAGACCCTCGATGTGCTTTTTATCTTTGCACTTTTCATCACCTCTTGCCTTGAAAGTTTTCTGTATAAGTTCCAGGTTTTTTTTTTACCCCAATGATTTCGATAATTTCCATGCACACTTCAGGTCTTGTTGGAAGAAATGGTACAGGGAAAACCTCTTTTCTCAGAGCTATGGCGATGCATGCGATTGATGGGATTCCCAAGAACTGCCAGATATTGCATGTTGAGCAAGAGGTTGTGGGCGATGACACAACAGCTTTGCAGTGTGTTCTGAATGCTGATATTGAACGGGTTCAACTTTTGCAAGAAGAAGCTCATCTGGTTCAACGGCAGGTTGACAAATGCAGAATTAACATTTTAAGATATGTATGTCCTGTTATATTTAGCCATTCAGTTGCTTTGCTAATAGTTTGGCGATTCCGTGCAGAAAGATCTAGAGTATGAGGCTGAGTTTGAGCAGAGCGCGTCCAAAAGCAAGGATGGTCTTGACAAAGATGCTATCAGCAAGAGGCTTGAGGAGATATACAAACGCCTTGAGTTTATTGATGCTGATGCTGCAGAGGCTCGTGCAGCATCAATTCTGGCGGTCTGTTTCTGGGCATCCAATACCTGTTATTTTTTCTTGCTTGTACAATTTGTACTATGTAGGATTGTATCTTTTGTTTCACTTCCAATTTTCTCGTTGCAGTTACATTGGTTGCATACCTATCATTCATTTAGTTATCAATATACTTTCAACAACAAATAATCTTTATCCCAGGCTATCACGTTTTCTTGCTGGTTATTGCATGAAATTGAACATTTCATAACTCATATCCTGATTATTCCAGTAGAATATGCCCTTGCCAGAGTACGCACTTTATTATATGTTCTGATTGGTGGAACTCTTTCCAGGGTCTTAGTTTCACTCCTGAAATGCAACGTAAACGCACAAAACAGTTTTCTGGTGGATGGCGCATGAGAATTGCTCTAGCACGTGCTCTCTTCATTGAGCCTGATTTGTTGCTACTTGATGAGCCAACAGTAAGTTTAAAAACATGAATTTGTTTCATCTCTTTCTGGCCTATGCTAACAAGATATTATTTTGCAGAATCATCTTGATCTCCATGCTGTGTTATGGTTAGAAACATATCTCCTGAAATGGCCAAAGACATTCATTGTTGTATCACATGCTAGGGAGTTTCTTAATACGGTATGCAGTATGATGATTATGATCATGTCATATTATCATGAAGGAGCTAATTTTGACAGAGCGTCCTTAATTCATATGTAGTATATTTGCATGTGCATTTTTTTCCTTGTCATGTAAATCACTTAATGCTGATAGCAATAAATTCTTAGGTCGTCACCGACATTCTTCATCTGCATGGACAAAAGCTACATGCTTACAAAGGTGATTATGACACATTCGAGAGGACAAGGGAGGAGCACCTTAAGAACCAGCAGAAAGCTTTTGAAACAAATGAGAAGGCCAGATCCCACATGCAGGTTGGATCTGTTTCTACTTTCTAGCAAGTACCATAGCCTCAAAAATTCGTTGAGAGACCTAACTAAGCTCAGAAGAACTGTTTGTCTAGTCTAAGCTAAAATTCAAAAGCTTAATTGGGCTATCTGAAAACATTCAACTACTATGTGCAATTAAATCCTTATTGAAAAATCGAAGTGAAGTTTATTGGTCTTTCTTCTGTGTAGGCATTCATTGACAAGTTCCGTTACAATGCAAAGAGAGCATCACTTGTTCAATCAAGAATCAAGGTGACTTTGCTTGCTCACATCCCCCATCACTCCATTGAATTTCTGCAAATCCAAATATTACCTTTGCTATTGTTTCACTTAAGAGTCGTCCAGTGATAACTTTAGTCTGTGCCTTAATATTTATTTATCTGTATTCACTAAGGCATTGGAGCGAATGGAGCATGTTGATGCGGTCGTCAGTGATCCAGAGTATATCACCGCATCTTAAATCTGTTGTGTTTATTCTTTTATATGCAATCAGCTTAGATAGTTGCCTGAATAATTCTTTGCAGCTATAAATTCGAATTTCCAACACCAGATGACCGCCCTGGACCACCAATCATCAGCTTCAGGTTTCATTTCTGATATGTTTTCTTTCAATGTTTAACGAAATTTGTTCTCTTCCCATGTGCAACCATGGTTTCTTGTTCTCTGGCTTGCTACTATATTTGTAATTCTTTCTAGCTTTCTTATTAAGATCTAGCAGTTAGTACATTCTGAGGTATTTATGTTACGATCTGTTTGTGCAGTGACGCATCTTTTGGTTATCCTGGAGGCCCCACCTTATTTAAAAACTTGAATTTTGGTATTGACCTGGACAGCCGCATAGCAAGTATGTTGCTTTGCTTCACTCATCTTACTAACAAAGAATGATACCTAGTATTTCTGCACGATACATCTTTTTTTTGGTCTCATGTTTGATCTGTTATTTCAGTGGTTGGTCCAAATGGTATTGGCAAATCCACTATACTTAAACTAATATCTGGAGATCTTCAGCCAACTTCAGGGACAGTGTTCCGCTCTCCCAAGGTTCTTTTATCCTTCTGAAGCTACAGTCATGACATTTCACTACTTAGCATTACCGATATTACATTAATTCTGATTGGCATGATTGCATAGTTTCTACATGGAGCCATGGAGGTTCACAATAGTTTTATAATGAGATTCTGGAGTGTACATTCTCCTGTCTGTATCAATGTCATTACTGAATTAAACAGAGAACTCTGAACCTGGACCTTTATATTTGAATGTATTTTGCCTCTTACCTGTATAGTTTGACCACTTTGCTAGTGATAATTTTGTTATAATATAACCTTTTATTGCCAGAGTTTCATCTGCTACATCTTATCTGCGGTTTGTTGATTTATTTATTGCTGCGGCTGTTATTTGCAGGTTCGCATGGCTGTATTCAATCAACACCATGTTGATGGGCTTGATTTAACAGTGAACCCCCTTTTGTACATGATGAGATGCTACCCTGTAAGTTCAAGCATCATTTTTATCTTTCCTTTACATCCAGCAACAATTGCTAGGTTGCACCATGAAGTTCACAGTGTATGGATCACCAAACATACAGTCTGTTTGTCATTTAACGTTGATCTAAGTATAAAAAATGTATTATATGCTCTTTGCAGGGTGTACCTGAACAGAAACTGAGGGCACACTTGGGTTCTTTCGGTGTTACAGGAAATCTTGCCCTCCAACCAATGTACACTTTATCAGGTAATGAGAGCGTTTTGATAGATGTCTTAAGCATATTAAAGGCTGCATATGGCCTTTCCCAGTTTCATGAGAAATTGAGAACTATCCTCTTGCCCAATGATTCATCTGCTCGTAGAATCTTAAATTTGTCAGTCCTGATTAGAGCCTTTCCAATCCCAGGTGGTCAGAAAAGTAGGGTTGCCTTTGCAAAGATCACCTTCAAGAAGCCACACATTATTCTTCTCGATGAGCCTTCTAACCATCTTGTAAGTAAATCACCCTGTTTTTTTTTATATGTTCTTTTAGGTGGATATCTTTTTTCCCCTCTTTGTAAGGGAGTTTCAGTAGCGATGATTTACACGCGAGGATAGGGAAACAACTTAACATGTTTGTTTGTGTGTGTTGCAGGATCTGGATGCTGTGGAGGCGCTGATCCAGGGTTTACTCGTTTTCCAGGGAGGAGTGCTAATGGTAAAACTAAGATCGTTCATTTTGGTGTAAAAGCTGATGACTTGGCATCATTCTAATTACAAGCTATATGGGTGACTTGTTATCTTTTACAGGTGAGTCACGACGAGCACCTGATAACGGGGAGCGTGGATGAGCTTTGGGTGGTGTCGGAAGGCAGGGTGTCGCCTTTCGCAGGCACGTTCAAGGACTACAAGAAGATGCTCAAGTCTTAATCTAGAGCCAGTGATGATATATATACAGAGACAGCGAGTCTACAAAGAAAGACACCAACATATATATCTGTATCGTGCAGCACCGATGTAACATTTACCGGCCTGAGGCCAAATCATCATTTATGTTTATTTCATGTGGATTTACTGAGAAGTTGTGGTTGTGCTTGTTGCCTTGGGAAGTTGGGAATGGGTGTCTACCCATGGTGGGGGTGACCGTGACAAAGGAAAGGCCACAGGTATCCAGAGATGCAGCCAAAAGCGAACATAGAAATTGATTAACCGTAGGATTGCAATCGTATGGTTAATTTCTCCGACGAAGCCATTTTGTGTGGATGTGAAAACAGCTTGGAAGATTATCCTTTTTGTTTCAGAGAAAATGGAAAAAAAATATTATACATGTACTACTACTGGTCGGATGGAGGAGGTCAAAATCCCCAAGGCAACCCATGAAGTACATCTATGGGCTTGGTGGGCCGATGGGCCTGCTCGCCTTGTGTCCGCTTTCTCCGTTGGCGTGTTTGGCTGAGTCGTGCTTTGCTCGTTCTCCCCTTCGCTTCAAATTCCCCTTTGACTAAACTAGACTCACCCACCGACGACGACGACGAAACCCTAGCCTTGCGGATCGATCGGCGGCGGCGGCCATGGAGAGCTGGGCAAGCTGGGTGGGCGCCAGCGTCACCTCCGCCTTCTTCGCCTCCCTCGAGCGCTGCTCCTGCATCAACCTCTCCACCGACGACGACGACGACCTCGCCGACGCCCACGAATCCAAGGACCGCCCCCTCGTGCTCTCCGACGCCAACGCCCACGCCCACACCGACGCCCATCCCGATCCCCCCGCCGCCGCCGCCGACGCCGACAAGCACAAGGACGACAAGCTCCCGCCCGTATGACTACGCTACTGTTACTTGAGACGCCGCCTGCTAGTATGTGTCTTGGTCTTCTCCATGTCTTCCAATTCCATCTGCTAGTGAATGCTATCTTTAGCCATTGTGACAAACCAAACAATAAACCATCTGTCTTTCCTATCGTGATTTCTGCCTCCGGCTGTGAATATCCGTGTGCCTTTTGTACTGGATTGCGTTATATCTAATCAATCAAATCATCGTATCTATTATTACTTGCTGCTATCTTGTGATTATGAACATGAAATCACCCGTATCCATCAGCTTCTTCTGTCTATTTGTTTAGTATGCAATATATATATTCATCACTTGCGGTTTTATGATTGTGAAATGAACAAGCCGAGGAGCAATATTACTTGTGTAATTCCATTCGCACGATGGATCCCCTGTTTAACCAAATCTTTCGGGTTAATTTGTTCATATAAATATAAAATATGGTCATCTGGTGATTATATATTGTGCCTTCCTTGTGCTATATAAGAAATATAACAAAGAAATTGTTGTGATGTGTTGCAGTTCACAATTGCATATGACCAAGTACATTTTGCTCACTTGCAAATTTAATTCTGTCTATTGCCTGATCATGCTATTGCAGGAAGGCATATGGATTGTTCTCCGTTTCAGTAAATTTTGTTTTTGCACTAATTTCCTCAAGACTTTACTTAGTCACAAAATTCATCTATTTTGCACATTTGTCACAAAATTCATCTATTTTGCACATTTCTGGACCTGTCTGTAGACATGTACTCCAAGTCCTTTCGATAACCATGTGTATTATGGTTGCTTGATTTTTTTTTCCTGGGTTCAATCTTCGATAGACATGATGAATAACTTATTGAAGTGCTGAAGGAATTTAGGTCCATTTCATGTCTTTTCCATGTCTTCCCCAAAATGCTTATTTGGATAAGCTTGTCAGTCTCTTTTTGTTGGCTGATGCCTGTAGATGAGTGTGGACGTTTCTGACAATGAGTGCTTATCACTGAATGTTGATTCCCAAGCAATTATTTTTGCCATGAAATCTCATAACAACTGTGCATGACTGAAAGAAATGAGTACATCACTACTGGATTTTTCCAGAGTTTTGGACAGTGATGAAGGGAACAAGCTGACCATGACTCATGGGAAACCAGAATCTTTTGTTGCTGAAACTGAGCTGAGACGCTGATGAAACCAGTAGATCAGAATCAGCTGTTTCTTTTTTTTTTCAAAAAAAAAACATGAATACTGTCAGAATCATTTGTGACTGGAAACTATGATGTCTGAATTGCTGGTGACATAGGTGGTGCCATGCTGTTAAATGTTAATCACTGGTTCCCTCTTGTGTTTGGGAGCAGACAACGCGTTGTTGCGTTGAGATGAGAGGCGCCTGTCGGCCTGTGCCTGAAGTCTGAACCGTGCAATGCCCTTCAATGTGAAGTTATGTCACTGTCGTCATGTTCTTCTGCTCTCTTTTATTGGATGAGCTGTACGCCTGCCCTCACACCTCACCTGGCTCTGATATATGCCTGCTGCTAATCGTCGTACATTTCGTACTGCTAGTACTGTGATAGAATTGATTGTTATTAAGGTTTTTAATTGTCCTGGTTGCCTACGCGTTGGGGTGATCATTAGTCCGCGTTTCAGACTTGCATTTGTAGGTAAATTGCAATATATTGCCTTGAGATGTTTGCCTCTTGCTGTCGTAATCGTTCTTGACGATCTGTTTACATGTTGCTGAATGGAATTCTTTCTTCGTTTCGTTCATAAGAAAGGAATGCAATACTTAGATCTTGTTCGATTTATCTGAAGTATCTGGAGAATCAGAATGTGCGTTTGGTTATGCAGAGGCAGTAGCTCGTTCTGTGCGATGAACATGCTATATTCGTTGGTCTACTGATGCCTGCAAAATCTCAAAGCGTAGGAAGACTGTTTTGTAATGGCGAATCCTACCAGATTCTACCTTCCGTAAAAAAGGAGTTCATTTTCTACACAAATCTATACATGCACTTATTTAAATTTGTGTGCAAAAGTGTACTCTTTTACAGGTAGAAGTAGTATCCATTTCGGATCTCGAACTTGCTTTGGCCTTGTTTAGATCCCAAAAAATTTTGGCCAAAAACGTCACATCAAATATTTGGACGCATGTATAGGGCATTAAATGTGGAAAAAAAACCAATTGCACAGTTTGTATGTAAATTGCGAGACGAATCTTTTAAGCCTAATTACACCATGATTTGACAATATGATGCTACAGTAAACATTTGCTAATGACGAAATAATTAGGCTTAATAAATTCGTCTCGCAGTTTACAGTTGGAATCTGTAATTTGTTTTATTATTAGTCTACGTTTAAGGCTGTGTTTGCATATGTAGGTTGGAAACTCATTCCCTCCGTACGGAAAACGGAGCTGTCCATTAACGTGTGATTAATTAAGTATTAGCTAAGTTTTTTTTAAAAAAAATAGATTAATTTAATTCTTTTAAGTAATTTTCGTATAGAAACAATTTGCAAAAAACACACCGTTTAACAGTTTGAAAATCATGTGCGCAGAAAACGAGGAAGAAGGGTCGGAAAAACTAGATGTTGAATAAAACTGGATGTCGAACACAGGCTAATACTTCAAATATGTGTCCGTATACTTTAAAAACTTTACACAAAAAACTAAACACACCTTTGACTAAATATGACTACTACAATCTACATGTCTACAACTGCAGCAGGAGTACAAACACTTGGAGTAGTGATGGCTATGCTTCGCCATCGCCGATTATCGATGACCAAGCACTGACATCCACGTGAACGAAATCACTAAACAAATGCAGCTACGTACCTAATCTCCTGTCTCTTCAGCGAGTCCTCCGGGAATTGCTGACCAACTGCACCAGCTACTATACATGCCACCATTTCCTCCTCTAAAATCCCTTATCCAATTCAAACATGGCCAAAACTTAACCATCCAGAGGGAGAAGAGAGATATAGATGGAAAATGTGTGCTTGAAAAATTTCCAGATTTTCTCATGTTAGCCATACAAACATGCACGAGCTTAATTAACGAGTGTTCAGACTGAAACTGATCTCTGTCACAAGTTTGCTTTTAGCTGGTGATGGAAGACCTTCAACCACCACAAGATAATGCACACATCCAACCGAGATACATTACACCTTGCTTGAGACTAGCTTGACAGCACAAGCAACCCAAACAAACAGTCATCTTCACATCAGTCAGCCTTCAAATTTCAATTTATGCTACAGCACAATCCATCTTATGCATCTTCATATTTCTATACACAAAGGCTAACATTGCAAAAGAGAGGTACATCACTTGTACTACTGAACATCTCTATTCGTTGTGTGATAAAATACTATGAAATATCTAGTTAATTAAGCAGACGGACTTAAAGGTAACCAATGATGGCTGCACCATTCACCTGTATTGGAGAAGCTGATGATCACGGCAGATTGCAGTGCATGAGTTCATCAGTTGTGGAGAGGGTTTGGTCCCTGAGGAACCATTCTTCTTGAGACAGCATACTTCTGGCCACAGATGCTACCGGCGCCGGCGACGACGCCTGCTTCTTTCTCTTGAGAAGGAGCCATGGTTGGAGCAAGCTCATGGCTTCTGAAACCACTGACAGCTTCTTCTCTGAATGCTCTCCTTGAACCAAGGCTTGAGATTGGCAAGTGAGACATGACAAGTAGCAGGAGCAGAATGAAAGGGACCAGGTGCTGCTTGGAGAACCTCCTCATGGCATAAGTCTCTAGTTTGTGTGTGTGTGTGTGTGTGAGAGAGAGAGAGAGGGAGTCAGAGAGGGGCAAGGATGAGAGGGTTTTAATATGGATTTTAGGCAGGCCAGTGTCAATGTCATGTTCCTGTAGGGAGGAGACAGGAGTGACAACAAGTAGAGCTCATGATCCTCCATCCTATGGTCCAGTTAACTCTGCATATTAGATGATGATGTGTTTGGATCACTGATAATTTGGCATGTGGAGCCCACCTTTTTTTTTTCATATGGACTCAATGCGATATAGGCTGTGTTTAGTTGGATCAAAAGTTTGGATTTTGGTTAAAATTGGAGATGATGTGACTGAAAAGTTGTGTGTATATGACAGGTTGATGTGATGGAAAATGACTGAAGTTTGGATCCAAATTTTGGATCTAAAGACAGCCATAGTTCTTTTGGTCAGTTGAAACTTGCCTGATTTTTGTATAGACAAGTTATCTTTTCTCCAAGGAATCTATAGAAGGATTCATGAAACTCATGTCGAATAAAGAAATGGCTAGAGTGAACAGAGACTATTGACAATCTTGTCTGCTAGCCTGCTCATGCAAGCAAGCAAGCAACCGATGATTACCTTTGAAAAAGTGACATCTTCTGCCTCTGTTAACCAATAACCACCCTACCATTAGACTTTCAATGCATGTTAGCTAAAGCTAAATTAGAGTATCAATATCTTCCCGAGCATGGATTCCATCTGCTGAAAATCACAAAAAAGGGTGTTCAGTGATCTTTTTAAAGACTGCAGGGACCAAAACATAAATGTATCAACTAAAAAAAATGGCTTCATTTCATGAACTATGTAGTAACTGTGGGCACCCGAACAATGTATCGTCCAGTGTAATTTGTGACCACTACATAATTTTGGATGAGTGGGATCCATATACGTATAAATAGACACTCATACCTCAATGTACCCATGATCACAATTTAACACCATTCGATATAAAATCCACAATGCCGAATAATGAACAAAGGAGATATTGTTTGGACTCAGCGTGCCAGTCAACTACAGCCTGAGACATGCCCGTCAAACCACAAGAGACATCTGATAAAATTGGATCCCACTCATCCAAAATTATGTAGTGGTCACAAATTGCACTGGACGATATAATGTTCGGGTGCCCACAGTAACATTAATGAACAGGTTTATGAATGCACAGTTGAAGCTTGATCGTTTACCACTTCATCCAGCTCTTTGGAATGTTGGGACTAGTCACCATGCATTTCAGCAGGAAAACATCAATATCTTTGCAAGTGACATGTCAAATTGCTAATCCAATTCCCAGCAAAAAAAAAGTTACTCCAGTTGATGTATGTTCTGTCAATAGCGCGTGACAGCACTGCTGGTTTCATTAATAACGCCACACGAAGCAAGCAGATTTTAAGAGCAATTTAATATAAGCAACCAATTTACTGTTGATTAACAATTGCTGCTTTAGCTGGAGATTGACTGGAATTCTACTAACCATACACGGACTTATTAATATGGATGCTCACCTATAGATGACATCCAGTGATGCTATGTGTACACCTCATGCTTTGGTGTGAGAATAAATGTCCATGAGCAGCTGCAGGAGCAGGATGGCTGCAATTTACCTGATACAGTGCTTCGCAAGTGTAAAATTTTAAATTTAACAGCTGCAAGCATAAGAATTCAAACCTTCATTGATATCAGTTTTGCTTTTTACCTGCATGAGTGATGTAGCACTAGGTCCTGACACAGTTTTGATGCTGCCACAGTTTTCTGCAAAGTTTGTGGAAGCTTCTCCCAGCAGTATTGCTGCAAAGTCCAACAAGGTTTAAGCACATGATCCAATGCTTGACTAAAGTAGGTGATGGCTCTAACTAGTCTTAAGTACAGCTTGATACTCCCTCCGTCCCATAATAGATGACGTTTTTGACTTTTTATTTGCAACGTTTGACCATTCGTTTTATTTGAAAAATTAGTGTAAATATAAAAAAAGATAAGTCATATGTAAAGTACTTTTGATAATAAAGCAATTGACAAATAAAATAAATAATAATTCCAAATTTTTTTAATAAGACGAATAATCAAACATTGACAAACAAAAACTCAAAAAGACAAGTAATATGGGACGGAGGTAGTAACTCATAACAGTATAATATGTGGTAATATAGAATCATAGGCTACTGAAAAAGAGTACAAAATGAATGATGATTTTATTCGGAAGTATAAAACCAGACAGTAATACATGATATTGATGTCGGGTGAACGCAAAATTTCCTTTTTCACACCGTCGAAAAGTTACATCTTTCACATATACTCAACACAGATTTGCCACTGTTCAACAAACTGAAAGTGGCTCTTTATCTCACATACTTTCACAGACAAATCCAAGCAGCTCTCTTGGCAAAATGAACAGACAAAGTGTCATGTACTAGCTTCTGCAGCAAGTGTAGCTCTGACTCCATCTTGAAATGAAATTGGCTTGATACCAAGCATTTGGGTTAGTTTGGTGATATCCATGGATATGTCTGGTGGAGAAGCTACACCCCGGTCAACCTGGATAATAAATAGTAAAGAGTCATAGCAATGCATAGTACCTAAACTGAACTCATCGATCAAGCAACAAATCAATAAATTAGGAAAGGCTAGTTCCACTTGTGTTGCAAACATCATAACTGTAAATTGTACTACCTCCGTTTTTTAATAGATGACGCCGTTGACTTTTTCCCCACATATTTGATCATTCGTCTTATTAAAAAAATTATGCAAATGTATAAGATATAAATCACACTTAAAGTACTATGAGTAATAAAACAACTCATAACAAAATAAATTATAATTATGTAAATTTTTTGAATAAGACGAATGGTTAAACATGTGAGAAAAAGTCAACGGCGTCATCTATTAAAAAACGGAGGGAGTATCTAAATACTAATATGTCTTTCGACGGTGAGTTGGTGACAAGCAAATATGCATTCTTGATTACTGTGACCCACGGAGAAGATTAATACCGATGAAGCAGATACAGATTTGATTATAGAATGACTATATCCACGAACATCAGCAACAGATTCAGCCATCTGCAGTCTTGAGACTCTATCTGGTCCACCGACATTCAGGAGTACTTGAACAGCTTTACCATCTGCAGCATGTGCTTTGATGTCAGTACCTCAGCATCAATGGAGCCAATAAATGAGAAATAGTCGTTCCTCGAGAGGCAAAAATAATGATTTTAAAAATTGTCAAATAAAAAGACAATAACATCACTATGTGGTAACCTTTTTATACCTGCTAACCATGATTTTGTCAAAGACAACACTACATCCACCATATCTTTTACATAAACAGGACACCGGAACTCATCATTAAAGAATTGAACTTGTTGGCCTTGTGAAAGAACACTATCCATCCACTGCATACAGAGGAAGAACTTTTTTAGTTAGACAATCCAATCTATGAGGTGTAGTTCTTATTTCTAAACAACTATGATAAGACTAAAAGTTTAACTTGCTTTAAGGAGGAAGTATTGTAGCTGCTGCAGATTAGTCATTTAACCATACCTGAATTGGAAGAGATTTTGCCACAGGAGAAATTGTTTGTGGCCCATAAATAATACTGCTTCTCAAGATTGCATAGTTTGAGCATTGTTCAATAATAAACTTCTCTGCAGCAACTTTAGATTTTCCGTACATGTTCACTGGCAAGGTCTCATCATCCTCTTTGTAGAAGGATTTTACTCCCTCGTAAACTGGTACCACAAGAGAGTGACTTGGTAAGATCAAAAGAAGGAATTTCCTACACTTGCTGGTTACTATATAGACCACAAATGCATAAATTAGCAAGTAACCTATAAACTCTGGGTTTTCATAAGATCCTCGGTTGTCTCTAGCTAGGCTTTTAAACGAAAAAAATGAATGCCTGCAGAAGAGTTTCGATAGCGTCAGATTATCAAGGATGAGAGTTGAGAGAGCAGTGCACCTTGATCTGTTGAGAGATGGATAAGAAGAGTGTTGTCATTCCCAAAGCTTAACAACCAAGTGACAAGTGATGAAGGTACATTAGTAGCCATAGCAGCAGCAGGATCCGTTTCGCATTGCCGAGGTACCGAGATTGCAGCACAGTTCACAATCACATGCGGCTGAACATGGTAATTAAACTCATTTAGAAGAGAATTTAGACTATTTACCATCAAATTCGCGTGCCTCAACTTTTTTACCACCCAATCCGCATGCCCTCTATAATATATCATTAGGACTGTTAATTAGTCTATTTGGTACCACTTTATCTATTTTTTTCGTATTTCTCTTTTCTTAACTCTATTTGTATATTTTTCAAGATTTATGGACGTTTTTGCCCCCGGGCCCACCTGTCAGATCCAAAAGAGAGATATTTCTCCGTATCGATCGATCCCTCCAGGCAACGCCCCCGACCGGCATCGGCGCCATCGACCGCGACCACCCCGCCGCCGATCGCCGCCGCCGCCACTTGCCTCAGCTCTCCGCCCCACCACCGAGCGCCGCCCCCAGCTTGCCGCCCCCGAGCGGCGCCGCCCCACCACCCCGCCGCAGAACGCTGCCACCGCCAGGGTGCGCAAGCTCGCCGCCCCAATCGCCGAGCGCTGCCGCCGCCGCAGCTGACTCGACGCCACTCCGCCCCAACCGCCGAGCGCCACCACCCCGCCGAGTGCCGGCGGCGCCACTGTGCGCCCCCGCCGCCCCAACTCGACGGCCCCACTGCACGATCTGTGGCGCTGTGGCTACACAAACATCACTGTGTTAGTAGCTTTGCATGCATCGCTAGATGCTACCATGCCGATGAATCTTGTCACTCACTCACCATGCTGCTGCTAAAGCTAAAAAGCTTAGCTAGCTATGGAACATGGAAAACATGGCATGTTCTTGTGAAGGATTACTACGTTTCCATGCCATGTGCTGCCTAATAGCTGGGGCGGCTGGAGGTGCTGCCGCACAGTGCCGGCGGGGGTGGTGGGGCGGCGCTCGGTGGTGGCGCAGGGCAGCGGGTCGGTGGTGACGCGACGCCGAAGAAGCGTGTGGCGGCGGCGGTGGCGCTACGCCTGGAGGGAGCGAATCGATCTAGACCCAGAGTATCTCTCTTTGATCTGACAGGTGGGTCCAGGGTAAAAATGTCCACAAATCTTGAAAATATATACAAATAAAATTAAGAAAAGAAAAATACAGTAAAAATAGATAAAGTGTTACCAAATAGGCTAATTAGCAGTCCTAATGACATATTATAGAGGGCATACGGATTAGGTGGTAAAAAAATTAAGGAACGTGAATTTGATGGTAAATAGTCTAAATTCTCCATTTAGAAAAGGAATAAAGCGGTCTGTCTCATACATTATTTATTTAGTAATAAAGCACTTCAAGATTCCACCAAACTGGATACAGCAAAGGCGTTGTGTCAAGTGTTCCATCCTTTTGAAATATTAGCTCTAGAAAATTCTAAAATCTACACAATTTCATAAGACATTTGCAGGGATTTTCATAGGAAAGGAAACGATTCGATTCTCGCAGTAAGAACATATTACATTTTCCATGCTGCAAAGAGAGTGAAGTAGCAACGCACATTCTGACTAGCAGTAGCATCACAACTTGAAATGGGAAACGTAGAGCAGGTACCTGGCCGAAGGACTCGGAGACGGCGCGGAGGCCATCGCCGGAGCGGAGGTCTACTCTGAAGGCGCGAAGCCCGGGGAGCGCGTGCAGGAGCGGCTGCGGCGGGGTGTCGCGGTGGTGGGTGAAGGCGACGTCGACCTCGCCGCCGGCAGCGAGCGCGGCGAGGAGGTGCTGGCCCAGGTAGCCGCTGCCCCCGACGACGAGCACACGCTTCCTCTCCATCTCTGCTTCTGCTCTCCCCGCGAGAGATCTGCGAGTTGAGGATTCAGTTGGTACCCATTTTCTGCAAACCCCACGCGAAGGCGGAAACGTATTCTCAGAAGGCGGAAACGGCGACCTGTCAGAGTCAAAAAAGTCAAAACCCTCCCTGGATAGGGGAAAAATCCCAGCGAGTGATAATTGATTGATAAACCCTACTGCTTCTCGCCGCCGCCGCCGACGAGGACGCCGGTGGGATGGGGGGCGGGCCGAGGACGTTCCCGGGCGGGCTGTCGAAGTGGCAGCACAAGCGGATGCACGAGAAGCTCGCGAGGCACAAGGAGCGGGGGCTCCTCCGCCACGAGAAGCAGCTCTACCTCGCCCGCCTCCGCTCCGAGATCCGCGCCTCCCGCCTGCCCGCCGCCGGCGCCTCCCCTCCCGACGACGGCGACGGGCCCACCTCCTCGCGCGCCCACATCCGCGCCCTCGCCGACCGCTTCCTCTTGCCCGGCGCCGAGGATCTCTGGAACGAAGACGACGGGCCCATCCACCGCGCCGACCGGCCGCGGCCGCCGAGGAGGATCGTCTCCGTTGGCGGGAATGGCGGCGACCGCCGTAAGTTGGACTCTACAAAGCAGGAGCTACCGAGGGGTGGGAAGGAGCCGCGTCTGGCTGCGTTCAATCCTAGGAGGGATTTCCAGACGGCCGCGCCCTGGTGGTGGCAATGGAGCTCGTCTTCCGCCATTCCTTCGCGAACAAAGGAGGCATCCTTCTGTTTCTTCGGTCCCAAGAGATCCTACTCAGTGATGCCTCTGTTCCAGGCGCATCAGGAGTCCAGTGGTACATCGATGGTGCCGCTGATTGCTAGAGGTCTTGCCAGTGCTCGGATTGCTCCCTCGCAGTTGAATGGAGAGAGGTTCTACTCGTTCGCAGCAGGGCGATTTGGCAGGAAATTGAGGCCAGACTCCTCAGATGAGGATGATGAGGATATATCAACTGCGAAGAAGGATATGAGGTTTGCGAGGTTTGGAGCATCCAGTGAGGAGGAATCAGGATACGATGAATTGGAGGCGAGAAGTGCCATCAGGAAGAAATGGAGCAGTGCTGCTTTGAGGAACTGTGATATGAAGAAGGAGAGGAGAGCGCTCAAGTCCTATGAGGAAGAAAACAACGATCTCGCTGGTAGCTTCCGAGAGCTGCGAGAGGAGATAAAGAACAGGGAAGTGTTGGGTGCTGAGCGGAGGCGTTACGAGTCGAGGGGCGAATCTTTGTTTACCAATAAAAGGTTACACTTTAGTTTACCTTCTATTGCTGCCTATTTGCTCATGTAGTTTTGATTTATTTGTTCTGGAGCTTATTAGCTTTAGAACATCATATATGTATTGTTATTATGAACTTTTAGGCAAAACAACAAAAGAATTTGAAACATACCGATCATGGTATATGAACTAAGAAGTTGCTACACATAGTCTTCTTGGAGTTTCATTTTTTATGGCACTGATCTACAGCAAGAATTAACCATAATAAATAGAGAGTGTATTCCTCCTAGCATGCTCCGAAACAGAGATACTTACTATGTGATTAATAAGCCCTATTGTTTCGTTGACATCAGATTTGAGGAATGTGGTATCTCTCCCCTAACAGTAAAAGCACTCACTGATGCTGGATATGTACAGACTACCGTTGTGCAGGAAACAGCACTTCCTATGTGTCTTGAAGGTACTTTCTTTTTTTATTTTCATTCGAATATGTGCTACTAACAACACAAGTTTATACTGACCATGTTACTCACTTCAGTAGTTCCACACATACTACTTAGCAGTTAGCACCTTGTGGCACCATTTTATCTTTTGATTTATCTGAACATGTTACCACTGAAACCTTCAACAATCAAGAGGTTGCCCCTCACTCATCACTGTATGCATCCAGGCAAAGATGTTCTTGTCAAGGCTAAAACTGGAACTGGCAAAAGTGCAGCTTTTCTGGTAATACTATTTTGCAAGGAGATACTTTGAGATGTTTAGTTTTTATTGTTGGTTCCTTCAACCAATTTATTCATAAATGTATTGATAAACAGCTCCCTGCAATTGAATCAGTCTTGAATGCTATGAAGAGCCATACAAATCATCGAGTGTCTCCAATATTTTCGCTTATCCTTTGCCCTACAAGAGAGCTTGCCATCCAGCTCACAGCTGAGGCAAATGTTCTGTTGAAGTACCATCAAGGAATTGGTGTTCAATCTCTTATTGGTGGCACTAGATTCAAGCTAGATCAAAGACGTTTAGAATCTGATCCATGCCAGGTTTGTAATGTTTACTGACCTACTATAGATCAAGGTAATAGCTGCTGATGTTTGTCGTTTGTCTGAACTATATCTTGTGTTTTCCCCCTTGAAGATTTTAGTTGCTACACCTGGTAGACTGCTCGATCACATTGAGAACAAATCTTCATTCTCTGTTCGCTTGATGGGATTGAAGTTGCTTGTATTGGATGAAGCTGATCATTTGCTAGATTTGGGTTTCCGTACAGACATTGAAAAGATTGTTGATAGTTTGCCACGTCAAAGACAGACACTACTATTTTCTGCTACAATCCCAAAGGAGGTACTGTGATCAGCATGGGCAAAAGCACTAGTATTCTGTAAATTTTTGTCTATCTATTTCTGTATTGATTGACAACCACATGTCTGAATTTGCCAATGACAGGTTCGAAGGGTTTCACAGCTAGTTTTAAAAAGGGATCATGTTTTTGTTGATACAGTGGGCTTGGGAGCTGTTGAAACTCCTACTAAGGTCTATACTTTCCAGTTCTACTCTAGTATATTTAGTACTGCATATCAACTTAATCTTCGATTTTTCTCATCTGCAATGTGCTCATTTTTTCTGACTCCTGCAAGTACAGAAATGTGATGTGATCAATTTTCTTGGTTTGCATTACCTAGAGCATCTGTTAGCATTTATTTTAATGTGCCAATTAAAAGAGGTCCCATTGCATTATTGCATCTATGGAAGGGACTTCCATTAGCTCTGCATTGTTCAGCACTTTTGCTTTCCATGGATACACATACAGACATTCACATAAACAGATATCCTAGACCATACGTCTTTCTTGCCATTGTGTCGACCATTTGGATATTTGATACATTTGTACACTTTGTATAACATATAAACTATATTTCTAATGATTTTTAGCTCAAAAGTAAAATATTGCTGCGTAGTCTCTTTTTATCTTCTCCCATGGAAATAATTTTTCAGTTGCTTACTGATCCCTTGATATGTGGTTTTCTTGAGCTTAGGTGGAGCAGTTGTATCTCGTTATGCCACATGAGCTGCATTTTCATATGGTTTATCGCCTTCTCCGAGAACATATTGATCAGGAAGTGGACTATAAGGTGCTCTCATCCCTCTCTTTTGACCAGACAATTGATTAAGAATTAAAATATGATAAACTTACTTAGCCTTTCTCATTCCAGGTGATTGTTTTCTGCACAACTGCCATGGTGACTGAATTTATGTATATAATGCTTCGAGATTTGAAGCTAAATGTCCGAGAAATCCATTCAAGAAAGCCTCAGCTCTATAGAACTCGGATATCAGAAGAATTTCGAGATTCTAGTCGCTTGATTCTGGTGACCTCAGATGTTTCAACACGTGGAGTGAATTATCCAGGTGTCACCTTAGTCATTCAGGTAGTCTTTTTTCTTTTAAAAATGTAGTTGTGAAAGTTCAGGACAGAATTGCTACTTTGCTGAAGCAAAAGCAACTGCTGTAGTGGACCTCTCTGCAGCTGATTGTATGGCTGCTTCTTCACTGCAATTACTATTTTAACATATATACTATTTTGGTTTAGGTTGGTGTTCCTTCAGATAGAGAGCACTACATCCATCGACTTGGAAGGACCGGAAGAGAAGGTAAATCTGGTAAAGGGATTCTTTTGCTTGCGCCATGGGAAGAGTATTTCTTAAATGAGATACATGATCTCCCGGTGCAGAAGTCTCAAACACCAAACATTGACGAGGAGATGAAACGAAAGGTTCGAATGAGCTAATTTTAACTTGTCTATTCTGTTAGTGCAGCATGAGCTAGCATATTATCAGAGCTAGATATTATTAAATCACTACTGCTACTCGGGCATACAAGTCTTGTACCCCGCCAAATTTGCTACTTTGAGGCTGAACTACTGATAGGTGATAGCTAGTTTAAGCTCCTCTTTTTCTCTTTGTTTGCTTTGATACGTTCTTTTGGAGGAATATTTTTCTTACTTTTGCACAAAATAACCAGCATTCCTAGCACTATTGCTTTTGTCATGTTTCGTTTTTGCAGACTGCATTAGCCTCCATGCCATATTGTTTACTGTCTTTGATACGATTCGTTGTATTTAGGTTGAATGAGTAGAGACGTACTATGGTGTTCAAAAAACAGTTGATGTGAGCCTGGCACTAATTAGCCTGGGACTTATATATCGCTTATGGATAGGAGTCTAATCTAAAGATTCATAAGTTATAGCTAAATGCTGTTGCATAGATTTTGCACTAACCATGACATATGCTATGAACTATACCATTTTAGTTTCTGTTTGAACCATTGTTTGTACGAATAACCATTTTATCATTTTAAATTCCATTCTGTTAGTATAACCATTTTACACCGTCTATGGGGATTTGAGTAAATATAAGTAGGACATTTTCCCCCCTACAGCGGTGTGCATTCGTTGTCAATTGTATCTCCAGCTTGAACGAACATGCATGTTCCATTTGTAATGCAGGTTGATGGTTCAATAAAGATAGTTGATATGAGCATCAAGGAGGCAGCATATCACGCATGGCTTGGCTACTACAATTCAATAGGTGATGTTGGAAGAGACAAGACCATGCTTGTTGACCTAGCGAACAGGTTCTGTAAATCCATCGGTTTGGAAAAGCCTCCAGCACTGTACAGGAAAACTGCTCTGAAGATGGGCCTTAAGGATGTACCTGGGATTCGAATCAGGAAATAGCAATTGCATTTCTTTCCTTTTCTTTTACTGAAAGATGGCAGATAGATTGAGTGAGAGAGTAGTAGTATCTGTGCTGAACAATTATGGAGTAATATATATTTTTAAAATTTCTGAAAGGAGGCAAAGCCCTCCGTATAGGATGTGTCAAATTAAAGCCAGACGGACGGCAAGCTAGCTAGGAGTATGTGCATGGTCATGGCGCAGGCGCACCCTGAGCTGTGCCCTTGTGCCCTTGTGCCTCCTCCAATCCCAATCCAGACTCCAATCCAGAGTCGTCCTCCGTTTTGGAGACGGAGACGGATGATGAGTAGTTGCCCGTCGGTCTTCTCCTCGGCTCCTCCTCCTTATATAATGGAGGAGCTGACGTTCGCGTTCATACTATCCACCTCAAACAATAAGCGCAATAGCCCAATAAACTGTTACCCAATCCATCCATCACCTAAGCTACTTACACCACCACCATGAAGAATAAGAAGGGTAGTCGCCGCAACCGCAATGTAAGCCGCTTGCCTTTTCTTCTTTTTTTCATTTCTCTATTTACTTCTTGTATATTTCTATATTATTATTATTATTATTATTATTATTGTTGTTGTTGTTGTTGTTGTTGTTGTTGTTGTTGTTGTTGTTGTTGTTGTTGTTGTTGTTGTTGTTTCTTTGCATTTGTATGCCTGCCGTCTGCATGCATGCACGGTTTAATTTTGTTTCGCAATTATATTGATGCAGAAATCAGCAGCTCACAATAACCACCTACCAGTGGTGGATAGGTTCACCAAGCTTCCTGATGATGTCTTGCTCAACATCCTGGACCGCCTCAACACCCCCGACGCTGTCAGGACCTGCCTCCTCTCTAAGAGGACGATCCACCTCCGACATTTGCTCTCAAACTTAAACATTTCGCTTCATTTCTTTTTGCCCCATTATTATGGTTATTATACCACCTCCATGGATGCAATTCGGATTCACATGAACGCTGCTGTGTCTGATGCGACAGACAACATACTCAATTTCAGAAACCAAGAGATTCCCCTTCGCCAACTCAGCATAACCTTCTACCTCAACTACTATGATTGTCTCACGATTGGCAAAGCTGTTGCCCGAGCCATGGCCACCCACAAGCTCGACAGCGCTGAATTCATTATTTTGCCAGATAAGAAGCTACAATATTGCACTGTTGATGATCGCCGCCGCAATGGGAAGTAGCTGATGACATTTTTCTATGCCTGTACTGATGCATTTGCTGGCCTCACACGTCTCCACCTGCGCAACTTAAAGCTTGCTGAAACTGACATTCCCAACATCATCGCCACATGCAAACGGCTAGAGTATCTGCGTTTGTCCATGTGTCAAACAGAGGATAGTGTGTTGCAGCTGCAGGTGGAACACCCGCGGCTTGCTGAGCTTGATATCTCTAGTGCAGGCTTAGAACTAGTTGAGCTCAACTCCCTACCGAACCTCAAACGGTTGGTTTTTAGCCTGTGGCTCTGTCCCCAAGAACCCTTGTCTTTTGGCAACATCCCATTGCTTTCAAGCCTAAGCCTCACAAATGTAAGTATGAGATGGCAGAAGGTTATCAGATTAAGCCAGTTCCTTTCTAGTGCCCCCACCATTAGAGACCTGCACCTCAGCTTCCTAAGTGAAAAGGTAATTACTTTAACCACAGCAGCTTATTTGTTCCTCGTTCTCAACTTAATCTGCATCCTTCCATTATTACTTTGTATTGCAGATCTGGGTTCAGCCAGAGTGCCCGAAACTGTTGTCACCTGTTCTCCAGAATCTGCAAGTTCTGAATCTGGATGAACTCCCGGAAGGACGCGATATCGCTTGGACATGCTTCTTCCTCGAAGCTGCACCCTCTCTGAAGGAGGTATGCATCACAGTTTGGGACCATTGGTGTGATATGGAGACAGATAGTGTGGAACGGGAAGAACAGGGCTTCTGTGAAAAAACAAACGTGGAGTGGGAGTCATCTACACCTGATGGTTTCAGGCATTACAACCTGACTAAGCTAACCATCTATGGTTTCCAACCAAATGAGAATTTTATGGGATACATCAGGCACGTCATGGAAGCTGCAGTTAACCTAGAGGACATATCTTTATACGACAGGAAGGTGCTCGAGTGCTGTGAAGACTTGGATCCCAAGATCAAGGTTGCTCCGTCAGGGTATCCGGAGACCATCCAGGAGCAGGAGTTGTTGAAGAAGCAAATTACAGAGGGATTGGTGATGGCGTCACCTCATATAATTCACTTCCGGTCTTAAATCCTCAGCACAAAAATGTGATTTGTTGAGTAGCAATAATATATGCTGACCTTTTTTTTTTGCAATGAAATACTCTAGTTTCAAACGTTTCAAGGCATATGTAAGCATGCTATACAATAGTAATATGTTTGAATGTTCTGGCTTCCTTTTGTTTTTTTGTTGCAATGAAATATTTTCCCTTATCCTTTGCCCTACAACTAGAAGAGAGCTTGACATGCAGCTAAGAGCTGAGGCAACTGTTTTGTTGAAGTATCATAAAGGAATTAGGAATTTATTTGTGAGGCTAGGGGAGTAATATTGTCAACCCCCGATGCTGTCAGGACCTGCCTCCTTTCCAAGAGGACGATCCACCTCCGCCATTTGCTCTCAAATTTAGACATTTCGGTTGATTCCTTTGTGCCCCATTATTATGGTTATTATGCCACCTCCAAGGACGCAATTCAGATTCAGATGAACGCTGCTGTGTCTGATGCAACAGACAACATCCTCAATTTCAGAAACCAAGAGATTCCCCTTCGCCAACTCACCATATGCTTCTACCTCAAGTACTATGATTGTCTCACCATTGGCAAAACTGTTGCCCGAGCAATGGCCACCCACAGCCACAACCTCGACAGCGCTGAATTCAGTATTCTGACTGGTAAGCGGGCACAACATTGCTCTATCGACGATCTCCGCCACAATGGCAAGCAGCTCATGACATTTTTTGGTGCCTGTACTGATGCATTTGCCGGCCTTACGCGTCTCCACCTACGCAACTTAAGGCTTGCTGAAACTGACATTCTCAACATCATCGCCACATGCAAACGGCTAGAGTATCTGCGTTTGTCCATGTGTCAAACAGAGGATAGCGTGTTGCAGATGAAGTTTGAACACCCGCGGCTTGTTGAGCTTAATATCTCTAGTGCGGGCTTAGAACTAGTTGAGCTCAGCTCCCTACCAAACCTCAAACGCCTTGTTTTTAGTCTGTGGAACTGTCCCCAAGAACCCTTGTCTTTTGGCAACGTCCCGTTGCTTTCGAGCCTAAGCCTCACTGATGAAAGCATGAGATGGCAGAAGGTTATCAGGTTAAGTCAATTCCTTCCTAATGTCCTTTCCATAAGAGACCTGCACCTCAATTTCTTGAGCGAAAAGGTAATTACTTTAAGCAAGTCCTCAGCAGGTTATTTGTTCATCATTCTCAACTTAATCTGCATTCTTCCATTATTACTTTTATTGCAGATTTGGGTTCAGCCAGAGTGCCCGAAACTGCTTGCACATGTTCTTCGGAATCTGCAAGTTCTGAATCTGGATGAACTCCCTGAAGGATGTGATATCGCTTGGACACGCTTCTTTATTGAAGCTGCACCTGTCCTGAAGGAGCTATGCATAACAGTTTGGGACCATTGGTGTGAGATGGAGACAGACAGTGTGGAACGGGAAGCACAAGGCTTCTGTGACAAAACAGACGTGGAGTGGGAGTCATCTGCGCCTGATGGTTTTAGGCATTACAACCTGACGAAGCTCACAATCTATGGTTTCCAACCAAATGACAACTTCCTTGGATACATCAGGCACATCATGGAAGCTGCTGTTAACCTAGAGGATGTATCCCTGTACGACAGGAAGGTGCTCGAGTGCTGCGAAGACTTGGATCCCAAGATCAAGGTTGCTTCGACAGGGTATCCGGAGGCCATCCAGGAGCAGGAGTTGCTGAAGAAGCAAATTACAGAGGGATCGGTGATGGCGTCACCTCATATAATTCACTTCCGGTCTTAAATCCTTGGCACAAAAATGTGATTTGCTTAGTAGCAATAATATATGCTGACTTCGTTTTTTTTTTTTTGCAATGAAATACTCTAGTTTCAAACGTTTCAAGGCATGCATTAATTTTCTCTTGTTTCCTGCAACTTGGTTTCAGGCCATATGTAAGCATGCTATACAATAGTAATATGTTTGAATGTTCTGAATATTCTGGCTTCCTTTGTTTTTTGTTGCAATGAAATTTTTTCCCTTATCCTTTGCCCTACTACAAGAGAGCTTGCCATCCAGATCAGAGCTGAGGCAACTTCAAGTGTCATCAAGTGGCACTAGATTCAAGATAGATCAGAGAAGTTTGGAGTCTAATCCATGCCATGGTGGCGGCAATGGAGCTGGGCTTCTGGTAGTCCTTTGCGAACAAAGGAGGCATCTTTCTGACATCAGGAGTCTAGCGATGCATTGGTGATGCCACTGATTGCTAGAGTTGTTGCCAGTGGTCGGATTTCACCCTCCCTGTTTAATTAAGAGAGGTTCTAATCAGTTGCAGCAGGATGATTTGACAGGAAATGGAGACCAGACTCCTCAGATGAGGATGTATCAACTTCAAGGAAGGATTTGAGGTTTGCAAAATCTGGAGCTTCCAGCGAAGAGGTCAGAAGACGATGAATCGTCTTTGAGGAACTGTGATATGAGGAAGAAAACAATGATGGATGCCCTTTTAACTTGAGGTTAATGATTGATACTCTGATAGGAGCTCGTTGGTGGGCGTGGAGAAAGAATCGCCGGGGAGAGGGAGGCGGAGCGGCAGCGTCTGTACGACCTGGGGCGGCGGGGGTGGGGGTGTGGAGGAGAAGCGGCGTGGCGCGGCTAGCAGAGTGCGCCAGGGACGGGGGAAGGAGAGAAGCGAGCGAAGGGAGGCAAAAGTATGTGCGCTGTGTGATGGATTGCAATCGAACGGTTGGTGAGCATTTGATTGAACGACCGGAAAAAAAGGGTGACGTGGCTAACCACGGCTCAGAAAAATCCTAATAAGTAATAACTACACTAAGCAAGACCACTTGTATAATATTATAGGATATGTTAGTTTTCTACTCCATATATAGATTATTGGGCTGATGCATGTGTTTGTGCACAGTCAAGTTAACCGTACATGACAAATTAATAACAATATATATAGATCTGCATGCTTAATTAGCTTGGGATTTTATTTCTTTATATAACTAGAAAAAATATCTGTGCGTTGCAACGGATGAAGTCTATTTTAATCTTATTATCAAGGTTACAGATAAGGCATACCTCATATCCTACGACTTATGGAATATATGAATATGGCATACTTTCACGTATACGGATTGTTCCCGTGGACATTGTTGGAATCTATTACAAATTATGGAAAATATCTCCTCGAGTCAACCGATTTCTAAAATTCTACTTGGAAGGGATATAGTTTCTATTATAATGTACAAGATCCAATGTCTCAAGTCTTACTTGAGGGTTAAGATAATCCACGGTATAAAAGGGACCCCAGCGAGGGGTACAAGGCATCGAATCTGATCGCCAGCACACCCACCATAGTTTACGTAGCCGGAGTACACGGAGCCAAGTCGCCGAGTAGTTTACGAAACTACTTACACTGTAACCTGTGGTTTTCCATCATCAATCTCATATAAACTAGACTAGGGCTATTACCTGATAAAGGGCCTGAACCAGTATAATCCTTGTCTTTTGTTTGCTTGATGTCGTATTACGTAGATCCTCGTTCCAACATACCCAATACCCTAATCATCCGGTCTACGAGTATCACTTGTCGACACTTATTATTGTTATATGGTTTAGTTAAAATGAAATTCACTGTGGGAGTTCGCTGGAGCCCGATCGTCTCAAGTTAGCATGTGAGTTTTCTTAAACAGATTTCTTATATGATTCCTTATGTATTTACCAAAAGTGAACGATCTTAAAAACCAACTCAAATATGGATATGTATTTCCAAAAGCAAATGAACTTAAAAACCGACTCATACACGGATGACGTACCAAAATACCGACAAAAACATTTTTAATTTTTATAATAGTAGAGATTAGCTAAAATACCTGTGCTTTCGTACAACTCGGAAAGAATCTAGGTTAGCTTATTATCTTAGGCCATGTTTAGATTCAAACTTTTTTTCTTCAAACTTCCAACTTTTTCTTCACATCAAATGTTTGGACACATGCGTGGAGCATTAAATGTGGATGAAAAAAAACCAATTGCACAGTTTACATGTAAATCACGAGACGAATCTTTTGAGCCTAATTACGCCATGGTTTGACAATGTGGTGCTACAATAAACATTTGCTAATGATGGATTAATTAGGCTTAATAGATTCATCTCGCAGTTTACAGGCGGAATCTGTAATTTGTGTTGTTATTAGTCTACGTTTAATACTTCAAATGTGTGTCCGTATACTTAAAAAAAATATGGCACACGAACTAAACACAGCCTTAGCTACATAGATATACGCTTCTTGCGTAGCATATTGATATATGTAGCATCATGTACATACTACTTAAAGTGTGTGCTTTTTTTTTTCTTTCTTTTTCCAAACAGGAAGTTACTACCTCCATTTATTTTTGATAGGCATATTTTCAAATCTGAAAATTTTACTTTTGATAGGCATATTTCAATCCAACTACCAATCCACTTAATAACTTTATCGGATTTAATGCGTGACTCTTCATTCTTCCACACAATATTGGCTACATGGGTATCTATAAATGTAAATATTAATCTCTTAGTTTGCACCCAAAAAAATGAATATTGCTCGTGACATTCCTTTGCTTGGCCAAAACAAAATAATTCATTCTTTGTGAAAATTTATCTCCAGGCCAGATAAATTTTCAAAAGCAGTTAAAATTAACTTTATATTTTTAGCTATATGTAAATCATGCTCTAAAAAAATATCAGCATATTGTAAGATAGATAAACTATCATCAACCAGATGTGGGACCACTCCAGAAGTTTGACCATCATCTTTTGCTCTCTTTATTAATATAGCTAACATATCAACAACTATGTTAAAAAGAATTGGAGATAACGGATCCCCTTGCCTTAAACCCTTAAATGTTTAAAAATTTGATCCCACTTGGTCATTCACTTTAGTGTCAACATGTCCACCTTGATAAAAGATGCAATCCAGTCACACCATTTTTGCGAGAACCCCTTCGTTCTCAAAGTTTGTTGAACAAAAGACCATTTTACTTTATCATAAGCTTTCTCAAAATCAATCTTAAAAAGTACACCGGTCCTTTTTTTTCAACGCAATTCATGTATCGTTTCATGAAGAATAACAACACCCTCCATAATATTCCTCCCAGGTATAAAAGCTATATGTGTAGGACTAATAACCATTTGAGCCACTCCAGAAATTCTATTTGTAGCAATTTTAGTAAAAATTTTGAAACTGACAGTAAGTAAACAAATAGGCATATATTGTTAAATTTTCAAAGCCTCTTTGCAATTGGCAGTAAAATAATAGTACTTGTAGCGCCCGTTCCGTCGTGGCGCCTAGCGGGAAAATTATCTCCAAAAAACCCTAATTGCGAAATTTGTTTCTTTGATTGTTGTCTAGTGTCCGTGCCATCTCAAGATCTCAATCCCCGATCTATCGTCGAGTTCAATTCCGAATCCAATTCCTTCCAAATCGAATCCCTCCGCAAAAGTCTAGTTTGCCTCCCCCGGGTTCGATGGGCCAAATTCCGCTCGGCCCATCTCTTTCCCGGCCCCCTCTCTCCCGGGCGCCTCCCTCCCTCTCTCTCTCTCTCTCTCTCTCTCGCTCCCTCCCCACCCCGGCGCGTTTTTCCCTCCCCCCCGCTCGCTGCTCGCGCGTGCGAGAGCCACGCCGAGCGCCCCCTCCTCTCGCGCGAGCTCCCCGCTCGCAAAGCCGGCCCCGCGCGCCGTTGCTCGCGCGCGCGCCCGCGTGGTTTCCCGCCCGAGCCACGTCGTCTGCGCCGTCCGCGTCGCCCGGTCCCGCTGCCCAGCCACGCCGCCCGTTGCTTCCCGCGCGCGCGTGCCGAGTGGCCGACCGCCTGGTCGCCGCCGCCGTCACCCTCTGCCGCGCCAGCCCGCGCCTGCCGCCCGTGTTGTCGCGCCGCTCCAAACCATCCCACCGTCATTGCCGTCGTCATTGCTTGGCCCCCGCCACTCCGCGCGCTAGCCTCCAAGGGGCGGAGGCAGAGAGCCCCTCTCCCTCTGCCGAGTCGCCCCGCTCCTTCCTCCTTTTCCCGAATCGGCAAAGGGGCGAGCCCCTTTCTCTCCCTCCTTTTCCTCTTTTTCTCCCTCTCGCCGGCGTCACCTCCTGTCGCCGCTTTGGACGCTAGCCGGAGCGCCAGCTCGCCGGCTTGACCACCCATGTCGGTTCCCCTCTCTCAAACCGACATTGCCGCCCATTTAAACCCGTCTTCCCCCTCCCTTCCTTTCCTCTCCCATTCGCCTCCTCACCGTTGCCGCCGCTCCCGTGCTCTACCTCGCCTCCGCCGTCCATCGCCAAGCGCTGGGAGAGCCGGTGCGTTCGTGGACGCGGAAGGGGACTCCGGGCGCGCCCTCTTCTTCCTCTTCCTCGGCCCGAGGCCGGAGAGATCACTCCCGCGCCGTCGGCCTCTCGTCACTGCGCCCCGTCCCGCACGGTAGTGTCTCTCTCCGTTCTTCCTCCTCGCTCCATCTCCTCCCCCTAGCTTTCGGTAGTAGCTTGAGTAGACTCCCCGTAGTTAGCCGGCGCCGCCCCGACCGTTGCCGTCGCTCGCCGTGTGCTCGCCGCCGTCGCCGCCTGAGCTCCGTAGCACCCGCTCGTCGCCGGCCTCGCTCGGCGTAGTTCCGCCCAATCCGACGCTAGCGTCGAGTTCCCGAAGCCGCGTAGATGCTCTCACCGCCGGGAATCGACCTCTCGTGACCTCGTCGCCGTTTCCCTCTTCTCCCGCCGCCGGTTGCCGCCGCCGCAATCCGCCGCCGTCGAGCAACCTCCGGCGAATCCGAGCCGTTGGCTCGCCTCTCCTTGTCACGTGCAACCGCCCGGTGTGCTCGCTGTTGCCCGTATCGCCGTGGTTCGCTCCGCCGCTCGCCGCCGCCGCCCCCCGTCCATTCGCGGCCGGGTCGTCGTCTACCTCCCGCCGGCCCGCGTGGCAGCCACGTAGGCGCCACGTCGGCGCCAGCTCAGCCAGACCGGGTCGGGCCGACCCCGGTCGGTCCCTCCGCGTGCGCGCGATCCACCGCGAGCCGTGAGGCTGCGCGTGGGCCCGCCGCACCTGCGTCCACCGCGGACCGCGCGCATGCACCGCGTCCCTTCCCCGCCCGCGCGCGTGCGTCGCGTGCTCCCTCCGCACGGTGAGCCGAGCCGCTGACAAGCGGGTCCCACCCGGGACCGCGCGTGGTGAGCCCGGTCCACCGGCTCTCTCTCTCCTCCCTCCCGCGCGCGCGCGAGTTTGGGCCGCCTTGGGCCGGCCGGCCCGTTTAGCTTGGCCGGACCGCTCCATTTCTCTTGGGCCGCGCCCTAGCCGTCCGAGAAAAGTCTATATTCCCTCTCTCCCTTCTTTTCTTTTTCTTTTCCAAAAAGGATTTAATTAAATCCTTTTCCTTTAGATCAAAAATTCAATAATCTTAGAAATTCAATATCTTCCCAACCGTAAATCCGTTTGACTCCGTTCAACTTCCAAAATTCCCCAAATCTCGAGATCTATCTAATGGCACGCTTAGAGGTCATTAATAGGGCTTTATTTTCGCCGTTTGTTGAGTTGTTCCGTTTCGCGTATAGTTTCAGAGCCCGAAGACCCGCAGTGCGAGGATTTCGAGGATCAAGCTCCAGATCTCAAGCAAGGCAAGCCACCTTTGAACATC